CTAAGTGATATTTTGGGTCAATGTAGGAAAAATACACCGTAAGTGCATCTTTGTGTAAACTGAGCGTACTGCAGATGCTTGCATCTCTAATTGTGTTTGAGAGAGACAGCACTGGATTGACAAAAATGGAACCGGGAGGTAAAACACTCATGAGGAAGTAAAAAAGACGGCAACGCTGAGTTAAAATTACATTTAAAATAGATCTCTTCATTTGTATTGATAATTTCTTCTGTACATCATGGGAGCTTGATTACTTTTCCCTGTTCATCTGTGTAAGCTGTTTTTTCTCCACTGTGCTCAGATTTTGAAAAGAAGTTTCTCCATTTAGGTTACATTAAAGTCATTTATTAGTGCAGCACTCGGTTGTAAGCACAGCAAGAACCTCAGACCTGCATTTAGTTTGCCTTCAGTTTCATCTGAAGCTGGGAGATGTTTGTGCTCGCTGGCTGTGTAAATTCTTAATTTCTAGTCCTAGATTCTGGCCTTTAAGGAAGCCAGGGTGGAAATGCTCAGTGCAATTGGGTTTCTGTTTCACTCCCCGAATGGCTGCTCCATGGCAGCTCCCAGATCACCATTAAATGGAACTAATGCCAAGCTGGGCTCTGCATGAGGCAAACGTGAGGTGTCTGGTCTGCAGACTCGGTTATTTCCACTGTAGGGTTTAAATATGAAGGCATTTTCCATCCTTTTCTTTCCCCTCCCTACTTTTTATTAACACTTCTGATGGAGCTGGATGCAACATTTCAGTGAATCGGGTAGAATTTTTGGGGTATATTAAAAAACTTCTCCCTTTCCAGTAGGTCCGTGGAGCTGAATGGATTCGCTGCACTCAGGGATCAGTACATCGGGACACCAGTGTCCGCGCACTATCAGTACCTCCCGCACCTTTTTAGCTATTCCGCCCACTCGGCTCTGGTGCCCCCGCAGACGCGCAGCCTGGACCCGCAGTCGCACAGTCTCATCAATCAGCTGGTGTCGGCGGAGGACCTGGAGCCGCTCGGGACGCCGATGCTCATCGAGGACGGGTGAGGGTGCACGGCATGGGGCTTGCGTGTTCCCGGCTGTTTCTCGGGTCCAGCTCATGCTGCAGAGCTGACGGCGAGGGGACGGCTGGGTGTGAGTGTTCACAGCCCCATTGGCATGGGGAATGCATCCCCTGGGAGAAGATACAGCCGCAGCACATGCAGCAAACCTGACCATGTCCCATGGGTGGCCCGTGCGCCTGCCTGGGGCTGGAGCTGGAGCCGGTACGCGTGGGGTTTTGGGCTACGTGACCATGCTGAGCCTGCACAGGAGTGGGATTTGATGGGTTTCAGCTCTGAGACTGCATTAACTGCACAAAAGACCTGGTAGTAAGCATGGCAGCTGGAAAAAAGCTGGGGAGAGCTGCAGGGCTGTCCCTGAGGCCAAGCTGCCCCATGCCTGGCGGGTGGGGTGCTGACCCTGTGGGTGACCCCAGGGATCCGGGAGTTCCCCTCTTCCCCCTGCCCCTTCCCCCAAGGCAGGCTGGATGCTGGCCCTGTGGGTGACCCCAGGGATCAGGAGGTTCCCCTCACAGCCCCCTGCCATGCACTCTGGGCACTGGCACGTTGGTCACTTGAACATGAATTCTTGTGGCATTTGCCTTGCTTTTCTGTCTGGTCAGATGTCGCCATTCGGTGTTGTTAATTATTTTTATGCCTTCATATTGACTGTGCCTGCAGGTATAAAGTGACTCAGGCAGAGCTGTTTGCGTTGTTATGTCGTCTGGCGGATGAATTGCTTTTCAGGCAGATTGCTTGGATCAAGAAGCTGCCATTCTTCTGCGAGCTCTCCATCAAGGACTATACCTGCCTGCTCAGCTCCACGTGGCAGGAGCTGATTCTGCTCTCCTCGCTGACTGTGTACAGCAAGCAGATCTTTGGTGACCTCGCAGATGTCACCTCCAAGTACTCCCCCTCTGATGATGAGCTGCACAGGTGAGATGTGGGGCTGAGCCTGCGGGTAAGGGAGCGAGATCTGGGCATGGAGGTGTGTTTGGGTGCCCTGTGACCAGTTAACCACCTCCTGGCACAGCTCACCTCACCTACTGCAGTTTTCCTGTTCTGTTTTTTAGGGAGTGGTTGTTCCAGGTCTAGAAAGTGTGCCATGGTTAGTCAGCGTTGAGTCCAGATTTCCTTCTGCAGGGGAAGTACTGTATGGTGCTGTTTGACATTCCCATAGCAATGCTGTCGTCCTCCAGCACAGCCATACAAAGCACCTTTTTATGGGGTGAGGAGAACTAACCAGCACTGTGGGTAACCCTGAGATACAGAACGGGACGTCTTATTTAAAGACCGTCTGGGCTAGTGGAAAGGTTGTTCACAAAGCTGGTTGTATTATTAAAGTGTTTGTTATTAATTGCCATTTCATTGTTTTGATTGTGTAAATCTAAAGATGTTGCAACTTCAGTCCTGTTTTTTCCATGGTACGTGCTATCTGATGCTCTGAGGAACCTGCCTTTCATTTATCATTTTGGTCAGGGTGCTGGTTTTTGGTTTGGGTGTTTTTCTTTTGTACCTGAAAGATCCTTCTCTGGTAGCAGACTCACAGTCTCACGATATTATGGCAAATAGGTAGGATTTCTGGAGACTGCTGCCCACCCTTCCTTTTACTATCTGCCCTATTTGCGCCCTGCCTGTGCCAGGCTTGGCAGTTTTACACCAGGGGATCTAAGTGTCTGATGAGCAGAGATTTAAAGTACTGCTGAGGTCCTTGGCCATCACAGCATCCAGCAGGTCCTGGAGGCTCCTTTGTGCGTCTGTTTTGCCAACTGGAGGGCTGAGGAGCCGAGAGCCAGCCCCAGGTGTCTCGTTTCCTGGGGCAGGTTCCTCCGCGCGTGGTTCTGCCTGGCTATTCATCGTGCATCTGGTGCTGCAACAGCGAGGGTCATAGAAAACCACAACAACACTTGTTCTGCATTCAGCCGGCCTTTTGTTCCTGCAGTCCTGGTCAGAGCCTCAGAAGAGAAGTGTTTGTTTCATTTTGGGTTTGTGATAAACACAAGCGAGAGGTAAGGCGAGAAGACAAAGGAGGAATCCTTGCCCTTCAGAAAGCGGCAATTCAGAGCTGGTTGCCTCCAAGTCCTTCAGAGATCTGTGCACATGGATGGAAATGGGTGTTGTTGGGAGCAAGATGTTTCTGCAGTCTCTTCTCCTGATTCAGCTTTTCAAGTATCATTAATTGTCATTAGTAACATGGGAAAATGCACAGCAGAAAAGCCATTTAGCGGGAGGTTGCACAGATGAGGGGTCTGGAGCTGCACGGCTCCCTCCTAGTGGTGGTTACAGTAATCCAGCCATGGCTTGGCTGCAGGGCGGGATGGTTCGTGAGTATCACCCTCCCTGTCCCATACACTCCTAGAAAAGCTGATCCCTTTGGATTTGTGAGGGGCTTTCAGAGAGGTGTCTGACTTGTGGGGTTTCTCAGCCCCCGTTTCCCTTGTTGATCAGTCATGACTGCAGACCAAAGTTTGTTACATCTCATCTGGCTGAAGATATCTGGCTGAGCTGTGGTAGCTTGGCGCTCCGGGGTTAATTTCTGTTCTTCTTTAGCAAGGTGACGGAAGCAGTGCCAACGCTTAGGTAGGTGGTGAAGGAAGGTGCAGGATGAGCTCCCTAGACTCTGTTTTAATCACTTCTGACAACTGGCGAAATGTTCTGTTTGCCTGCTAGATCGAGTGTTTTCTTTTATTTTGCTGTTTTTCTGGAGGTGAATATGAAATGAATGGATTCCTGACCTCCCCCAGCGCTCCTGATAGCGCTTCCCTTCCCCCTCCTCCCAGCTGATCCCGGTAACTCCCTGCCACAAACTTGCCTGGTGTAAACTGTTTGAGTGTGTGGAGGAGTCAGTCCTCGAGAAGAAATAGGGCTGTGAAAAACAGAACAGCTTTGTTCGAAAGGGGGAGGAAAGTATGCAGGGAGAAGTAAGACAGTTCAACTGCAGAAATGAGAGAAGAGCTCTCCTGGATTTATGAAGTGATGAGTGGCTGGTAAAAATGTACATGCTGTAAAAACAATTAAACGCAACAGATGACTGAGTGGTCTTTGTGCTCATTAACTTCTTGAGCTTTGCAATCTTGCACCTGCAAGATTTTTAATGTCAGCTTGAGAGCAAGAAAACTTGTACAACTTCAGATTAGCCGGCGAGGCTTTCATCACTTACGATATTACTTTCTTGAAGAAGTGACCTGGAGTTCAGATAGCTTGTTTTCACTTCTCCGGGGTCAACCTCCACCATGCATTTTACAAATAACTTTGAAGTAAACAAACACACATGCCAAAATAAGGTATTATTCAGTGAAAAGGGTTCTATTTTTGCTCTATTCAAAGATAGCTTTCTGACCGCGCTCTTGTTCTTTGTGGCGTACAATGCTGGAGCGTAGCTGAAGCTTCCCTAAACACTTCGGTCCCACTTCTCGGCATTTTTGCAATATGCGTTTTCTTTGAAAACGGGGCTGTTGCTGTGAGAGGAGTTCTGAGAGGCTGTTGTGGCCGTGGGCACACGTGGGATCGTCCTGGAGTGGTCCTGCTGGTGCCTGTGGGCACTGACAGCCCTCTGCATCCTCCAGCTCTGCTGTTGCCTACACCACGGCTTTTTCACGGTGCACACATTGGGCAAAGCTTAGAGGGCAACGGCACGCGTTCCTTAGGCTGCAGGATTCAACACAGCCTGCAGCTTCCCTTCTTTTAACACTGGTTATTTGTGGTTTCTTGCGTATCTGTATTTGTGAGAAGGATCCCAGCCCTGTGGCAGCGTGTCTCACCCCAGAAGCACTCAGCCGAGGAAAATTAACAAACCATAACGAGCAGGCAATAAATAGGGCTGTGTGGAAGTGCAGGATCCCTGTGAGTCACTTCTGGGAGTTTTGGGAGGTGAGCTTCCTCACCTGGCTAGGAGATAAATGAGGTGTGCATGGGTTGGTGCAATTCCTCAGTGCTTCAAACAGGGCACTTAACAGATGGGAGAAACTGGGGGCGTTTTGCTGTTGGAAATGGGCTTTGTTCTGGAAGGCAGCAGGTGCTGGGGGCTGTTTCTGCAGCCCTGTACCTTGGGATACGTTGAAATGTGCAGAGCCAAAGCCTGGGGTTGCACTGGCGTCCTCATTGAAATTTGGGGAAATACGAATGTGGAGAGGCAAACTAGTGTGCCTGCAAGCACAAGAAGTTTTTGTGTATTCCTGTTTCCATCAAACCTTTTCCTCTGTCAGAGCAGGTTGGGATGAACTGAAGCACCAAAAGGTGACTTTTTATGTGTAAAATCTCCGTTTTCTAAAATATCCGCAACAGAGAAGTTTGCAGTGGAGTGATTTTCCTTCTTACTGCTATTTTAATAGTGTCAGCAGGCTTAAGGTGGTTTTCATGAGGATTTTTTAGTTCTCTTGCAAGATGTTAAAATCTCTGAAATCTTTTTAATAAACTTCTTGCTGTTGTTATATGATGCGTGATCTCTGTCTTCCAGATTCAGTGAAGAGGGCATGGAGGTGATGGAGCGGTTGATCTACCTCTTTCGCAAATTTAACCAGTTGAAGATCAGTAACGAGGAGTACGCGTGTATGAAAGCCATTAACTTCCTAAACCAAGGTGAGTCCATGAGGAGAAGGTATTGGTCCCATGGGAGAAATTCTCCGAAATAGCCTGAGCAGCCTTTGCTTCCCGGGTGAGAAATGGGAGGAAGGGATCTGAGACCCACAGACTTACAGGGGACACATGGGTACCCATGTGGAGAAATCCTGGGAGTGAATTAATTAATTTGGCCAGTCTTTATTGCCTTTGAATTTAGACACCAAGGACAGCAGTGGGTCATTTTACTCACGTACCAGCGGTACTGATACCAGGGTTAGAGCAGAGCAGAGGCTGGTGAGACCTTTCCGGATAAGGTTTGAGTGGACCGTGACCTACCAGCTGCTAATAAACCTTTTGTCAGGCAAAGATCTGCCATCTAAAAGTATTATTGCTTTGGGTAACTGTTTAGGCTATTAACTAACCGATAATTTAAGAAGAGTTGATTTGCGTGACTTCTGAAGTAAGCACTGACTATTTGTATAACAGCCTTTGAAAGATTCCTGACTAGAAAGTGTATTTATTTGTTTTTTGCTTTAAAGGGCGAATTTGTAAAACTGATCCTCCCTTTTTTTAGAGCTTTTCTGACTCTTTTACCTTCAAGATATATATTTAGGTCACCGAGATACCTTCCTACTGTTTAAATTCTATACCTAACGCTACCTCTTTAAAGTAAATAGGAACCACAGACGAAGTATTTACGTTCAGGCAGTGAATTCTGCCTGACTAATTCTGCTGATTAACCAGCCCATTACACCTGGCTGTCGTGAGACCCCAGGCATTTCAAAATCCAGAGTAATTCTCAGTGTGTGAGAAGATCCCAATCATTTCCTAACACCTGCAGTGGGCTGAAGGGGTTTGGAATAGATGGGGTTTGTCCCATAGCAGTGCTCATCGCTGTCTTGGTGCCCTTCCCACTCGTTTGTAGGCTCGTAGGATGCTACTTCACATGGGGTGCGTGTAAATTAAGAAAACCATGGAGAGGCAAATGCTAAATGGGTGGTGTGCAGCTGTAATTTTGGAAATAAATGTCCCCAAAGCCTTTGGTGCCGTGAAGGATGGTTGCAGTCAGTAAACATGCCACAGGCTCTCCTCCCCCCTTGTTTCCAGCAGGAGATAGTGCTGACGCTTCACTCTGTGCTGGCTGAGGTTCCGGTTTGCTTCCCTGGGCAGTTTCCTGACACTGGATAATGCTCTTCTCGAGCTGTCTCCATTGTTTTCCAAAATGTATTTTCATTAACTTCCTGTCTTCTTTTATTTTTAGTTGAAGTTGGCAATTTTTTATGTGCAATACCTGCGAGTTATTTTTAAAAGTCAGCTTTTGGGCAGTAGATGAATGCCTCTTCCGTCAGATGGTGACAGCACTGATCCTGCACCGTGGATCCGCAGCTTCCTCGCTGGGTCCTCCCCGGGGCCCTGGCGGCGCATGGGTGCCGTTGTTCGCGCCCGGCGCTGCCAGCGGGGCCTGCTGCCGGGTTGATATCTCGGGAACGTCCATTTTCCCTTTGTGTACGTTGCCTGACATTGGCAAAGCTAAATTTAAGAGTAAGGAGTTGACAAGTTTATAAAGCTCGTAGGACATAATTCATAATCAGATGGGGAGAAATATGATGATACCTTGAGTTATAGAGCTGAACGCTTTGCTCGGCCAAGATGATGTAGCTGGAATCATCGTGTTTCTGTCTGAGGACAAATTACGCTGAATCTGTGGTGGGGACTAAACCTTGACATCCAGGCAGGCAGGGATTTAAGGCTGTGGAGCTGTTATCTCCAGTAGCATTTGTTGAGCTCTAAGATGAGCAGCTTAGGATATTTGCTGTTTTCATCCTGCGCCTTCGTGGAAGGAAATCCTGTACCAGACACGCGTGTAAAGACACATCCATGGTGCAGGGACGCCAGGAGGGGAGACAGGAATTTTAGCATTTGTCTAACCGGGCGCTTGAAGTGACCCCCAAAGCAGGCACCCACTGTAGAGTTTTAGCCGTCAGTCTGTCTTTCCTGAAGAAATAGCAGTAATCGTGAGGCTGCTCTCTTAGGATGTTTTTGGTGTGTTCATTGCTCTAAGCATGTTCGCTTTCAGACATCAGGGGTCTGACCAACGCGTCCCAGCTGGAGCAGCTGAACAAGCGATACTGGTACGTCTGCCAGGACTTCACGGAGTACAAATACCCGCACCAGCCAAACCGTTTTCCGGATTTAATGATGTGTTTGCCAGAGATACGATATATTGCAGGTAACGTTTTGGGCTCTATCTCCCACTAGGATCATGTGCAAGTTATGAAATTTGCTTTAAAAAGAAAACTCACGACAGTGAAATTCTTGTTGACTTCGGAGGATGTTTGTGTGGGACCTTTCTCTATCGAAGCTTCTCGCCCATCTTTGAGCCAGTCTCCTGTGACCCCTATCTCACCCAGCCAGACTGGCTTTGAGCAAGTTGTCCTTGTGGTGCTGGGGGATGCGGCATTAGGTCCTGCTCCAAGATGTGCCGTGCTCTCACCTGCCGCCCTTTAAGCACTTTGGTCAGGTTCTCCATTTTTTCTTCCTTTCCATCCCAATTTGGACCCATTTGAGGAGTTACTTCATAAGAAACAGAGAGATTAATGAAGGAGCAGATGATAAACCCACAGGTGAATTTTCAAATGCAGTTGTCACTAATCAAATCTGCAAGGTCTGGTGTTACTGAAACACTGCTTGTTCTGAATGCTGTGGCAAAGGGAGATACTTGCCTGTGCCAGGGCCCCGTGTACTTCATCCTGATCTGTTGTAACCAACTGGATAATAATCAGAAAGTAGCTCTCGTAATTTACTCATTGAGATCAACAAGGGAGTTAGAGGAGAGAAGGGATTTAGTCTTTCCCAGTTTCTATAAATACTGTTCCGTTGTGGAGAAATCGTTTTGATCTGACTTTGCCCGTTTATTTTGCTTTCAATTCCGTAAATAATAAATCGTGTTGTGTCCAAATGAATATCAAATGTCTAATGTCTCAGAGGGATGATTAACTGTTTCTCTGAGAGGTTCAAGGTAAAACCATCTCCAGCGTTGCCGGCTTAGGTGTCTCTGAAACCTGATTCAGGAGTGGCTTCTCATTCTGGTTTGTTGTTTTGTTGTTTTCTTACCAGGAAAGATGGTGAATGTCCCCCTGGAGCAGCTGCCTCTCCTCTTTAAGGCCGTTCT